CCCTACATTGACTGAAGTTTAATGAACCATATTCAGATGACCACCAAATCTCTCTGTAAAGTTGTGTGTCATGATTGTATTTTTAAATGATTATGGGGAAGAAAATGAAGTAAATGTTGCTGATGATCCCCATATTTATTGACCAAATTAAGGTTGTTCGTATTGTTGGGGAATTACCAGTCCCTAAGCAGCGTTTGATTTTTAACTTCTGCTAAACAGATGATTATTTGTACTCCACTGATCTACTGGCTTTATTCTTGTCATTTGATAACATTCACTATTAGCCGGTGCCTTCCCAAGTGGACCCAATTGGAAGATTTGTCCAAAAACTTGAAGAAAAATGGAAACCGCCTTTATGTGCTGTATTGCCCTATATGATTAGATCATAACATGTTGAAGCTGAGTACTTGGAGAGAAAATTTATTTCTGAGATCATATTGTATCTTTGAGCTTTTTTCCCCCCTGATTTTTCTTTTCTTTCTTTCTTCCTTTTTTTTTTCCCAGAAGACTTGTGATCTGTACAGCCTCTGCATTTTTGTTATAGTGACTTACAGCATGAGGATGGATGTTCAGTGCAAACTGGCTAGCAGTAACTGAAAAAAGTGCACGCTTTGCCATTGGTAAATTGTCAGTATAGTCTTTTTGTTCTATTGCAGAGTAGATAGCATGTTCAAGAGGTGTCATGCATAAGAATTTCTGGGTTTAGTAGTGCATCTTGTGGAAGATGTTACAGGACTGTAAGTATAGGACCCTCTTACATTGATGTGGTCTGGTACTCAGTTGCAACATCTGTGAGTGAGAATTTGTTTTTCCCAGGCTATTTCACCTTAGTGAGGACAGAGTACAAAAGATGTTAGAGAAAAGCTCTACAGATTCTGTAGTTCTGTGTGTACTCTATCGACACTGTCCTTTGTCCTCCATAAAAGACAAAAGAAGCTAATTGTGTATCTACTTTCTTTGATATCTGACACTTTTTGAATTGCATGATTTTATTACACTTGTATTCTTTAGAAAAAATGAATTACTTTTATAGATACTTTTGTAGATTTTGAATCAAAACTCAGTCCTGATGACTTTAAAGATTTTGTAGTCTATAAACTAGTTTCATCATGATGAACTTGATTGGTCTAAAGTTAATTTTAGAAATTATTAGGTAGCATAATGTCTTCCCATCTTCAGGAGGCTTTGTGATGGACTGAGTCTATAGATGAAAGAATAATTCGTGTATGACTAGCATGTATTTCCGAAGAGCTTAGAGTGCCTTGTAGAATTTTTTTTCTCAGTTTCATTTTGAGGTCTATAATGGGGTGGGGGATTGCATAGATAGAAACCATTTTCTTGTATGGAGGTTAAGACTGTAACATGTCTAAAGTTACAAAGCCTATTTGGAAAGGATAGAAACCAGGTTTTTCAAATCTGGACTCATGGTTTAACCTATCCTTTTCTCAAAGGAAAAACAGGTCTTTGGGACAACCCTTTGATGTTTGGGAAAGTAAAAGGATCTTGGGTTTTCCAGTTTGGCATTGGAACTTGCTCTGAATATGAATACATTGTTGGGTAACTCAGCAGGGAGAAATGACATTGGGCAGCCTTCCTAGGGATACTTGGTTACAGCATAAATGAATAGGAAGTGTTTATATGGATTCCCTTCTCCCTTTTATTTAATGTTGATGCTAATAGTTGGGAGTATTAGGGTCCCCCTATCTTCTCTCTGCAGTTGAATTAAGATACATGAACTATATCATCTTGTGTCTATTTGTGTGTATATAGCAGTAGGTCAAGTTTAGAGTACTAATGTTTGTAAATAAGGAATGACTATTAGCATATCCATTAGAATGGTTTATTCTTGCCAGTATAAACATCACTTTATTTAGACTGAAGTCCCTGAAGCTTGTCCTTCTTATCTCTTACCAGTATTAGATAATGTGCTTGAATAAGTTTGTGAATTGCTGATTGCAGCTCCATTTCAGGGGACCAGTCTTCAGATTATATTTTATTAGAATGATTGTTCTTGGAATGATAAATACATGGACTGTTATAAACTAGCAAAATCTTCATAGTTTACATTGACTAAATGGTTCCTAATTGATCTCTAGACATGTGTATATTTTTATATCAGTTCAAGCAAAGGTTCAGAATTGACCGAGTGATACTGACTAGAACAGCAGATAAAAGTAAAAATGGAGGTGAGGACACTGCTTTGAAAGGTAAAGAAAAATTTTGTCTTATTATCTGTTAATAGTATCTCCAATTCTTAGACTTTTGTCTTCTCAGTTAATCTTAGTCTCAAGATCTGATGAGAAGGGCTTATTACACTGGCATGCAGAATGATTATTGGCTCTTTTGTGGGATTCCCCAGAGTATTCTGTCCTGCTACCACAAGAGAATAAACATCGGAGCCAGTATCTTCTCCAGTATTCATTCCTGGGCTAGCTATCCGTTTTGTCTTTAAATTAGAGAAGCATCAAGCAATAGCAGTGGTGCTGTGTCCTGGCCTAAATTTGATAGAACTGATCTCCCAGGGCTTCCTTTTCACTTGTCTCAAAGGATCCATTGTCTTGCACAGAGAGGCCAGTCAGAGTCATGTAGCCAAAGCTCTTAGGGATGGTATCTTAAGAAGTTAGTAGGAAACCATCACTCATGGGAACAGTTCACATGTTAAGAATTTGGTGGGGGATTGTTATGAAATCTTTAACCTGAAGCTAAGCAGGGGTTAAAGGTCATGTCCAGGGCAATTAGTCTTTAAGTTTCTATATTAGCAATCCATGCTTTTTTTTTTTTTTCCTTCGTTATACTAAGTATGTGGATCTTCCCTTCTATTTGAATAGCATTTAGTTTAACCTATGGGTTATTCTTTATCACCAAAAAAAGTGGCTGAATTATTAGCTATTAAGAGATTAAGTAAGTCAGTCCTTCAGTATTCCCACTTGATCATATCTATTCACTTAAACTTCTCTCTTGCCTTTTTATCACAGGGAGTATGATGACTGGAAAGGAGAAAATATGGGTATCCAGAAGTGATAGTATAAAAGACTATTCCTATTAAATTATGTGACTACAGAGACTTGCCAGGACGAAAGTTTCATAAGAAATCAGAAAAACTATTAAGTGAGATGCTAATAAGTACTTGGGTGATTCAGACATTAGCAGTTTGGTCAAAACAAAACAAAACAAACATTAGCTTAAAAATCTGCAGATGTGGAATCATATATATTTGATTCTAGAGCTTAAAGCATCTTCACTATCAGCTAGTTTAAGCCTCTTCTCCATACAAATTAGAGTAACAGTGGATGAGAGCCAGCCTGATAAACCTGGGGTTGAGGCTAAGTATCATATAGTATGAATTTATTAACACGATAGAAGTTAAAATGACTGATACTTGATAGTGAATTTAGTAGCAAAATTATTTTAAGCTTCACTGTTGTAAGATTTCTCAGCTAGGTGTTGAGTTGCACAAGTCATTTCAATGTTGATACTGGCCTGAACAGACTTTTACAAATGGAATTATTTCTGTGTGTGTGCTCTTCACTCATTCAGAGAGACTAGTCATTCTTTTTGTTTTCTCTCATAAGGATTCTTTAGTTCCTCACCCGTTCTTACTATGAATCCTTATTAAATTTCTATTTTGGTCTTTGGGCAGCTTAGTTCACTTTCAGGAAATTGTCATGGTGTAGGCAAGTGCTTTTTTGTCCTTGTATTGAGGACTTAGATCCAAATAATTATTACGTATAGTGATGTTTAAATATACTAAGCTTCTATTAGCCTTAAATGTTTTCTTTACATTTATTTTTATTGCCAGAGGTGTGTGTGCCTGCTAGAGAGAGGGAGAAAGCACCCTTCAATGGGTTGTGGTCCTCTCTCTGTTTTTTCATCCTGTTGGGGTTTTGGGCATACATGTCCATGTGCCTGGCACGTTCTTGAAGTTTCTGGGGCCAGAATTCGAACTGTGGTAGGTAGGCCATGTATGACCCATTCCCTTAACCATCAGGGTATGGGGGTGGTCTAAAATGTTAATTCTTGAAAATGATTTTCTAAGACTATGTTAACAGTAATAAAAGCACTAACAATTCATTAGTATCTTATTTTTGAAACTTCTTTTTTAGGACAATAGTGAAAATTTAAAGTCATTTTGAAATGATGTCAAAATGCAGAGCGGAATTGGAGTCTGTTGTGATGACAAAGACTTATTCTTGCAGTAAATAAAGGTAAAAATTTGAAACTAGTTAGTTGGCAGAAAAAAACCTTTTAGTAGAACTACTGGGCTGTTGGAAAAGTCAGGATGTAGTTTTCTGTGCAAAAGTGTGTCATGGCTTTAAACACGATCCAATAGATTGAGGCTAGCTTGCATAAGAACTCATCTTTCGATTACTGGAGTTGATTGACTTAACCCTAGGGCTGCAGATGCCTTTTCCTTCCTTCAGGTCACTTCTCTTTTTTTATTATTATTATCATTATTTTTTTTTTTGAGAGGTTTTTATTATAGGGTACGTGTGCTCGCCAGGAAGACAGACAGAAAGTGAGAAATGACCTTCCAGGGGAGATAGCCACACTGCAGTCTCTTCTCCATTCTCCTCTTGGAATCTTGGGCACACACGCACACGTGCCTGGCATGAGTTTAAAGCTACTGGGTCCAGGACTTGAACCATTACTGACTACCTGGGAGTCCAGTGACATAGCTATTACGCCAACTGCTGGTCTCCAGGTCACTTCTCTTAACTTGATATGTTCTTGTCACATCTCTCCTCTGTTGGAATACAGCACCTATTC